GCGTTTCAGAAAGGCGGGGCATAGAGGAGAAACAATAATGTACAGTATGTGGAAAATAATGTGTTTTTTTAACCTTAAACCGCATAAACACATTTCATTACACCAAATACACAAATTAATGTTATTTTTAGCAGCATCATATGACCCCTTTAATAATCGTGAAAAGTGTTGATTGCAGCATCATATTCAGAGCTACTCTGGTTGCATCAAAGGTTGCAGCGCTGCACTGTAGCCGGACACAGTCATGTCTACTCAGCACACAATGTAATGATCTCCTTATTTTTCCATCTTAACAAATACAGTGAAAACAATTTAAATAAGAGACTCACTGAGCAGTATTAGCCAAGTCATTGTATATAACGGGAGTTTTGGTGAAAATGCAGAAATCAAATCACTGACAAGATTGATTGCTTTTTGTATATAAAATAATTACAATATAGAGAACATTTTGATTTTCCATTTCATGACCCCATTAACTAATTATGTCATTAATGCAATGAACTTTAACATTATACCTTTTAAATGACACATTTTGGGGCCACTGTACATTGGTTCCAAAAAGCGTTTGTGGATGGAAATTTATGAACTAATCTTACAAGAGCGCATTATGTGCAAAGAAAATTCTGCTCACTTTGATGTGTCGTTTGGGCTGCGAGGATAAATCACATTAATATTCTCTCGCTGTCATACAGTACTTTATTGAGCAAAGCAAAATGGTTGATTTGTTCAAGGTTTTCATCCAAAGAAAACGCTAAGGCTTTTTTTTCCGGAAGGGCCATTTATTTTGTGTACAGCTTATCAACACTCATTTTATGACTTTGTATATGTGGAGGTCTGCTTTATTCTCTAAGAAATAAATCACCTCGACAAATGAAGGGGCTCATTAAATTTGTAAATGAGTTTATGAAAGCTATTTGCTTACGGATTCAAGCCATCAATGTGACAACTTAACTAGACAAGCTATGTGCGTACTAATGTTTGTGATGTTGACCGCTGTTAATCTAAGCAGTAGCTGTACTTTATTTACATAGACTGACATTAGCAAATTACTATCAGCAGTCATGAGTTTGCTTGTATGCTTTACAGCCTTTCGCCAACAGCTGACATTAAGCTGATATTCCTGCCTGATCTGACCCATAAACATTGCATTCATTGGCATATTCAAATTTAGTCAGGTCAATTCAGACATATTGGCCCGGTTTCACAGATGGGGCTTAGCTTATGCCAGGACTAGGCCTTAGTTAAATTAAGATATTTAAGCAGCTTTTACAAAAATGCATTAGAAGAAAACGTTACAGGTGTGCATCTTGACAAATAACAATGGCACTGACAAGATATTTTAAGACATTTTAGTCTGGGACTAGCTTAAGCCTTGTCTGTAAAACTTTACTAGGGATTAAATATTATGTTTGTTAAATTAAATGTTTTATGTTTTTTATTCTTGTTTTCTTTTTATTTATTATATATATAAAACACACACACACAAACAAACACACACACACACACACACACACAAAAACTTGCTTTGTGTACTGTGTGAATAGGCTAACCAAGACTTGTTATGGCACTTGCGTATCATTGCTCTTTTGTTCATTTTGATTGCTTCTGTTGTCCTCATTTGTAAGTCACTTTGGATAAAAGTCTGCTAAATTATTCAATGTAAATGTTAAAATAAATAAATAAATATATATATAT